CCAGCCGGCGGTGTGCCGCTCCCCTGCGGAAGTGGGGAATGTGGCCAGGGGGAACTGCCCTTCCACGGAGGTGGAAGGGATAGTAGCCAACCCGGGAAGAACCAGCAGCAAACCCGGGGAGGGCCGAGCAGACGAAAGAACAGCGCAGGGTCCTGTGTCGTTCCTCCACGAAGAGGGGGAGCGACACCCAAGCTGGTCTTTCTTGGCTGGGCAAGCCCCCTCCACCTGTGACCCATGGAGCAGGAACCCTTTGAGCTGGTTCCGCGATGACATCAGGGCCTCAGATGACATCAGAACACACCATTGCCTATGAAGTGATGCCAATCAAATCGGACCTGAAGCGCCTCTATGGTTAGCAGAGGAAAGGGGAGAAAATTGAGCAATGCTGTGGGAATGAATCAGCAGACTCCACAGTGTTAGGAAATTCAAAAAATAAATTCAAGGGAAGAAAAATATGGAGGGTGAAACTGCAGAACACAATAGACATTAAAGACAGCAACCAACCATAATCTGTAGACTTACTTGGATCCAGATTTTTCAAAACCTACAAATACACCTATGACGTTATTGAAACAGTTGAAAATTCTTTAGCTTTTATTTATTTATTTTTTGACAGGCAGAGTGGACAGTGAGAGAGAGAGAGACAGAGAGAAAGGTCTTCCTTTGCCGTTGGTTCACCCTCCAATGGCCATTGCGGCCGGCGCACCGCGCTGATCTGAAGCCAGGAGCCAGGTGCTTCTCCTGGTCTCCCATGGGGTGCTGGGCCCAAGCACTTGGGCCATCCTCCACTGCACTCCCTGGCCACAGCAGAGAGCTGGCCTGGAAGAGGAGCAACTGGGACAGACTCCGGCGCCCCAACCAGGACTAGAACCCGGTGTGCCGGTGCCGCAAGGCGGAGGATTACCCTATTGAGCCGTGGTGCTGGCCTAGATTTTATTTTAATAAAGATTTGCTTCAGTGGCAATAGTTATGGATGACATAATAGAAGATCTACTTCAAAATATTAAGTGAGAAAGGGAAGTGGACTAAGTAAAATTATCCGGAAGCTGATAAATGATCAATGATGAGAGATAGATTGGTGGGGTCTATTATGCCAGCCTGTCTACTTTGGTATATACTTTAAATTCTCCGTGATGAAAACATGCTTACAAAAATGAAGTGGCATGTGGATGGAGAGTGAAGAGGGTGGGCTCAGAGACTCCTGTGAGCAGACATAAAGGGCTGGATGCCAAGGGGAGGCAGAGGTACGTGTAGGGTTTCCCAGGACAGAAGCGACAGTGCCCCCGTGAAGATGGGGGGAAAGTGTAGGGCCTGGAGGTAGCAAGAGAGAAATCAAAGACCCGGGAAGAGAGGATATGGGTGAGGAAGCAGGGGATCATCAGGGCGCAGAGATAGAAGTCACCTTGGAAGAGGAAAGTGGACTCCTGGGGTGGAGGTGGGCAAAAGCAAGAAAGACAGACTTTGTAGATAAATACATTGTGGAGGGAGGGAAGTCTCAGCAGCTACTTGGGTGTGGACTTGACAGTATGCCAAGCTTTGAATACCCAGATGGTGAGGCCAGGCTCAGAGTTAACAGACTTGCCCAGGGTCACGTGGCTGGCACACAATAAAGACAGGATTGAGCACAGGGTCAAAGGATCAGAGTTGGAAAAGAGGAGGTCGGGACCTGAAGGCTAAGGTTCGGGTCCAGGAAGTTAGAAGCAAGACAGGATCCAAGATTGACTTGGGGAAGCGAAGTCTCAGGTGGCTGTTCGTCAGTGAATGGGCAGTGTGGGATCTGATGCTCGTGGTTGCTAGCCCCAGCACAGGGTGGGGAAACACTGCCAACCACCCACTCCAGCCCACTTCTCAGGTGGGGCTGGGCAGGGGCCTTCCCAGGTTGGGCCGATGGTTGTCCAACAGCTTGAGTTGTTCTAACCAGGACAGGCTGTTCCCATGCCAGCTGTTCAAGTCTCCCCCTAGTGGCGCACAGGTGTTGGTGCTGGCCAAGGTGCTGACAGGTGCCTCTCTGGTCGCTCAGGTTGGCTAGTGTGGTGATGGGAGGATAAGGACGGATCTGAAAAACAGGGAGAACACCCATATCTGAAGGTCTTGACTGGCTCCAGGGAGGAAGGAAAGGGGAGTGGAAGTGTGTGTCTGAGGAGGGCGATGACTCGGAAGAGGTGCTATATGGGGTTCTATAAATGGTTGCCCACCTGCTATGAAGTCTCAGCCTAAGTTAGACCCCAGGAGTATGCAGTGTGTCCAGCCATGCTCCTGGTTCTGGGGCTGCTTTCCCTAGCAACTGTCCCCATCATACCCAGGAACACCAGGGCTCCACGAGACCCACGTTCTCCAGCACCGTGGCTGGCCTGTGCCTGCAGCTGAATGAAATGAATGCAAGTGCCAGTGAACTTGAACAAGCTCAGATGTAACAATGGAGGGAAGAGATCTCTGGTTCCAAGTGGGAGGGCCTGCTGGACTCTGGCTGAGACCTTGGGTTTGGGTCTGGGGTGGTACAGGAATGTTCCTGTGCTCTGATGTGAGGACCAGGGGGTTAGCACAAGCTAAAAGAAGAGAGCCTGTGATGCGCATGTGCTGTGAGCAGTGTCTGCCCTTTCTATGGGGTTTAAAGACTTCTTCTAGGGTAGTAGGGGCAGGGGAGAAGGAGCCAGTGTGAAACATAAATGAGCCCTAAAGATCAAGATCCAGAAACTCCTGAATTCTGCTTCAGCCAAAGACACAGAAAACTTGCACCATTTATACCAGTGCCAAAAATTATAAAATAGGCAGAATTTTAACAAACTATATGCAAGATTTATATGCTGAAAACCAGAAAATATTGATGAGCGAAGCCATGGAATAAATGGAGAGCTCAAGTGTGCTCATGAGGGCTTGGAAGACTTGTGAAGTTGTCTGTTTTCCTTCAGATTGAACCACTTCTGATCCAGCTCCCTGCTAATGCGCCTGGGAAAGCAGTAGAAGATCCGAGTGCTTGGGCCACTGGCTCTGACTCCTGATTCCAGCTTCCTGCTAATGCAGACCCTGGGAGGTAGCAGTGATGATTCAAGTCATCGAGTTCACCCATGTGGGAGACTCGGATTGAGTTCCTGGTTCCCGACTTTCACCTGGCCCAGTATCGGCTGGAGCTTCTTCCAGGTCTCCTCCGTGGGTCAGGGGCCGAAGGACTTGGGCCATTTTGCACTGCTTTCCCAGGCAGTTAGCAGGGAGCTGGATCGGAAGTGGAGCAGCGGGGACTTGAACAGTATTGGTTTTGTGGACACTTGGGAAGTAAACCAGCAGATGGGAGCTCTGTCTTCCTGCCTCTCTGCCTCTCAAAAAACAAACCCATACACCTTCCCTGTGATGCAGCACTCCTAGGAATTTATCCAAAAGAAATGAAAACAAAATATGAATGCCTGGGGCTGGCGCTGTGTAGCTGGTAAAGCTGCTGTCTGCAGTGCCAGCATCCCATATGAACACCAGTTCAAGTCCCAGCTGCTCCACTTCCCATCTGCCTCCCTGCTAATGCACCTGGGAAAGCAGCAGCAGATGGCCCAAGTACTTGGGCCCCTGCACCCACGTGGGAGACCCAGAGGAAATTCCTGGCTCCTGGATTTGGTTTGGCCCAGCCTTGACCATTATGGCCATTCGGGGAGTGAACCAGTGGTTGGAAGACCTCTGTCTCTCCTTCTCTCGCTCTAGCTTTTCCTTTCAAATAAGTGAATAAATATTTTAAAAATATATGATTTTTTGGCCGGCGCCGTGGCTCAATAGGCTAATCCTCCGCCTTGTGGCGCCGGCACACCGGGTTCTAGTCCCAGTCGGGGCACCGGATTCTGTCCCGGTTGCCCCTCTTCCAGGCCAGCTCTCTGCTGTGGCCAGGGAGTGCAGTGGAGGATGGCCCAAGTACTTGGGCCCTGCACCCCATGGGAGATCAGGATAAGCACCTGGCTCCTGGCTTCGGATCAGCGCAGTGCGCCAGCCGCAGCGCACCGGCCGTGGCGGCCATTGGAGGGTGAACCAACGGCAAAGGAAGACCTTTGTCTCTGTCTCTCTCTCTCTCACTGTCCACTCTGCCTGTCAAAAAATAAAAATTAAAAAATACGATTTTTTTAAATGCTGAAAACTGATTCTCAGTTCAAGTCAGAATTATTTTTATTTGAAAGTCAGAATTAGAGAGAGAGAGAGAGAGAGAGAGAGAGAGAGAGGATGAAAGCCAGGTGAGCTAGGCAGCTGTTCCCAGGAGGCTCAGCTCGGGCAGGACACACCAGCTGGGGGAGAAAATCCTCCCTTTCCCGGACAGCCCCATCACTTTCCCCTGCTGGCTGGTGAGTCCAGCAGCTTCCTGTGACTACAAGTGCCTAGGATGGGGCACTGGCGGAGGCAGGAGCTGCACGGTGACTCCTGGTTTGGGAGGGTCCGTGCATGAACAGGTGGGTGCCTTGGCTTCGGCCGTGTGGTGAGGCTGGGGAATGGCAGAGCCTGTGCCTGGAGGAACCTCTCACAGTGAAGCAGAAGGCAGACAGGGAGGGCACGTGCCGGTCCATGGCCATGGGGTTCTCCCTACAAGGTCACCAGGACTTGGTCATGGGCTGCGCCCTAACAAACTTTCTGAAGGCCCCACTGTCAGAAACCGTGATTGGATTAAACTTCTACCCTTAACACATTGCCATTCAGGGATTGCGGCTTTAACACAAGGGACTTCAGGGACACTCACACTACTACCCAAACTACAGCAAGTGCTCGTGGCCGAGTGCTTACTGTGTCAGGGCCTGCTCCGTAGCACTTCACCTGTGGCTATCCTTGTGTCTGGCAACCCTATGCACTGTTGCTATTCCCATTCGACACATCTGGGGACTGAGTCACAGAGGGGTACGAACGATGGTTACATACACAGGAAACAAAGAAAGAAGCCCAAGAAGTCTGGCCTCCTTCTGCTGGGGCTGCAACAGCGGCTCCTCCTCTCCCCTCCCCCCACCCTCCCCTCTGAATCATGAAGCCAGACCCTGCTCCCGACTATTGCTCAACCCCCCGGAGCCCAGTTCCTGCGGGCAGCCAGCGCCTGACCCCTCTCTCCTGCAGTGCGAAGGGAGGATCAGCTTCTGCAGCAGGCACCCTGCAGCTGCCCTGGGCTGGGAGGGCATGGAGACTCTGCGGCTGCTGCTCCTGCTGTCCATCACAGGTACGATGCCCGCCCTCCTGCCCTTTCCTTCTCCTTCTTTGAGCTGCGCTTGGGGGCGGGGTGGGCACCGGGCAGAACCACGGAGGGACCGGACTCCTCAGCCTGCCCCAGCGCCTGTACCCTGTGCTCCTATCCACCCCACCCTCACCTGCCTCCCTCCCTTCCCAGCGACAGACCTCACGTGTGTCAGACCCTCATGCGTGGCCAGTGCGAGGTCACGGACTGGCCACACAGGGAGGGAAGGAGCCGGGCATCAGAGGAAGTTTTGGGGTGCTGGTAACAGCCCTTAAGTTAACATCATGAGCTCCTTAAGCCTAACCCAGCCCAGGGGGGCAGCAGGTGGCAGGGGAGGGAAGGAGCAGCCCCCCAGGACCCGTGAGCCACATCTTAGAGAGGCCCCCATGCTCAGAAGGTCCCGTCCCCAGCTCTCGATGGGAAGGGAGGGGCTGGAGGCCCCGTCACTGTATTTTGGGGACGGACAGCCCAAATCCCTGCACACCACCGCCTCTTCCCACTGTGGGAAGGCACCCCTCACACTCCTGGGCACGGCAGGGCAAGGGCAGAGACGGTGCCCACGGACTCCTGTGCCTGCAGCCTGCAGAGGGGACAGAGGGATGGGCCGGGCGACACGTGCAGGGGACGCTGCCTACCGAGTCTCTGCAGGTCCATACAGCAGCCCCCCCCGCTCCCTTGGCCCCTCTCTCCTGGCTCTGCCCTGGTGATGGTTAGAGTTGGGGGATCCGGGAGGAATGAGAGGAGGCGGTGAAGATGCGGTTCCGGGGGGCTCCCCTGTGGCCCAGACCCGGAAATGTCTTGGTGCCCCCACCCCAGGAAGAGCTCCAAATAGCAGCCTCGTGTTTCCCCCAAAATAGCCCTGAGACGAGTCCTTCCTGAAAGGGGAACAAGGCCGCAGAAATAGGGAAGCTGGGAGCCGAAAAAGGCCAGGAAGGAGGAGAATGTGGGGTCTGTGCCGGCGTGGGCGGTGGTGGACAAGTGTGCCCTGCTGGAGGGGGCCCAGCCCGGCCCCCTGCGGAGCCATCTTTTGCAGTGAAGAGGGCAAGGAGAGGCCCTGGATGGGAGGCAGGTGAGGGGCCTTGACTACCAAGCGTCATCAGAAATAGGCCCAGAGAGGAGTGGTTATCTCTCCAAAGACGCCCAACATGCCCAATTTGGGAGAAAGCAAGACTCGGAAGCCTGCATTGCTATTCCCAGATTCACACACACACACACACACGCGCGCGCGCGCGCCAGGGCTCTGCCGTCTTCCCATAGCCAAGTTCCCTAAGGGAGGGATTTCTGCCTGTGGATGTAAGCAGCACTGAGCAGGCGCTCGGTGGCTGGGTGTTTGGTGACCCTAACGACTGCCTCCTCCCCAGAGCTGTCCCGTGCCTACAACACCACCGTGTTCCAGGGCGTGGCGGGCCAGTCCCTGCGCGTGTCCTGCCCCTACGACTCCGCGACACACTGGGGGAGGCGCAAGGCCTGGTGCCGCCAGCTGGGCGAGGAGGGCCCGTGCGAGCGGGTGGTCAGCACACACAGCTGGTGGCTGCTGTCCTTCCTGAAGAGGCGGAACGGCAGCACAGCCATCACCGATGACGCCCTGGGGGGCACCCTCACCGTCACACTGCGCGACCTGCAAGCCCAAGACGCCGGCGTCTACCAGTGCCAGAGTCTCCAAGGCAGAGAGGCCAGCACCCTCCAGAAGATCCTGGTGGAGGTGCTCACGGGTGAGTGGGTGGCTGACCACACCTCTGGCCTGCTCCTTGTGGTGTGCGTGTCTGCGAGAGACCGCCCTCTGGGCTCTAAGGGATCCCGGGAACAGCTACAGTGTAGGTCTCATTGCCCCCATCCAGGGCCACCAAGGATGGTTGTTCAGGTTGCTCACTGCCCAAGGAAGCCAAAATCCAGTCCCAGCTCCTTTTGCCTGGCCATGCTCCCTGGCTCAGGGCGACGTCGCCTGCAGGAAGGGCAACTTTGTCTAATTTGCTCTAAGGCACTGTCAGAGCCTTGGCCCCACTTCCTCAAACAGTGTCATCATGTTGCTTGCACAGGGGACTTCAAAACATTGTGGAAACCTGAATGAAAAGATGCGTTTATATGAGAGCACACATTTTTGAACTCCATGCATAGTTTTTTTTCCATAACATGTGCATTTCATGGACTTTTGTTCATATGCATGGGTTTCCATTTCTTTTCACCAAAATAAATTTGTCTTTTAATCTCAAGAACTTTTTGAAGTACACCCTTCAGGAGTAGAGATGGTTTATCCCCTGGCCAAATAAGCGACAGACCCACCAACAAACGTTCCGCACCACCCCGGCCCCTGCCTCCCGGCCCTGAGTTTTGCCCGGGGACCTGAGCCTCCAGGACCCAGATGTGTCCTGGAGGAGAGCCACACGGGAGTTCCAGCCCCCTGTGCCGACTGTCGCCTCTGCCCACCCTCCGCCCCTGGATGGCCCTCCATCATGGAAACTGGGGCAGCGGGGAGCTCTGCCTGAGGCGCGGGGGACAGGGAGACCGCCAGCCCCCACCCGAATCCCCTCCACCGCTTTTCTAAGCAGGGCACAAGGCAGAGACCCGAGTTCTGCCTCAGAAGGGGCCGAGGCTCAGCTGTCCCCCGAGATGGTGCAGAGAAGAATCCCACGGTCGCCCTAACCCGCAGCTCAGTCCATAGGGTATGCGTGGCTGCACCTGCTCTCCTCCGAGCCTGTGTGCTGCAGGGTGGCAGCCGGGTCTCTGAGCTCCGCTGAGCTGCCGGGCACTCTACTGAATCTTCTCCCCCCCCCCCCAGTAATTAGGAGGCGCTGCTGATCGCCGGCTTTGTGCGAGAGGGAGTGGGGGCTCAGAGAGGTTAGGCACGTGGACGCCCACCAGGTCAGAGCCCAGAGGGCCTCACCCCACCCACAGGGGTTCTCTCTGCCAAGCTCTGCTTCTGCCTCCCGCAGAGCCCCTGGAGCATGAGCACGCCGGAGACTTCTGGGTGCCCGAGGAGTCTGGGAGCTTCGAGGATCCCCCAGTAGAGCGCAGCAGCTCCAGGTGCAGACTCCGCCCGGCACAGCCCACCCTGGCGCGGGGGTGGGGAAGGGCGGTGTGCAGACCATGAAAGGGCCTGGGTGTGGTCTTGCCTAAAGCTCCCCACTGCGGGCCAGTATGGGTGCCTGGACTGTGCCCCTGTTGAGACATTGAGATGCTCCCCGTGACAGTTTGTCATGAGCTGCTGCCCCGGGACCCCTGAATGTGGCCCCCTGCCCCTCCCTGGCAGCCCCCAGACATCCCCACGGATCAGCAGCAATGAGTTTGCATCTTCCAGTCTGGAAGTGGGACTCCCAGGGCCCTGGTCTTAACCCTTTCTGACTAGCCCGTGTCGGAGTATTGGTGTTTGAACATTGTTAATATAACCACTGAGTGCACATGCACACGCATACTCATACACACACTTACACAGATACACACACTCTCACACGCATACACACACCTAGACTCACACACACGTACACTCACACTTAGACACACATGCATACACACGCAAACACGGATACATACACACATATACACACTCACACACACACGTATACACCTACATGCATACACCTGTACACTCACACTCAGACACACATGCACACACATACACACTCTCACATATACACACACATATACACCTACACACATACACCTGTACACTCAAACACACACATGTATACACACTCAGACACACATGCACACACATACACATGTACACTCACACTCAGACACACACACACATACATACACGCGCACGGATACACACTCCGATAAACTCACTCACGCACACTCACACGCCCCATAGCACACCATCGTGACCGGCTCAGGAAGGGAAGGCATGAGCTGTGTTGAGGTGCACAGCAGGTTAAAGGCAGACCGTGCCCGGCGCCCAGGTCTCCTGCCTGCAGGGCAGGGAGGTCGCCTGAGCCCCCGGAAGCTGGCAGTTTCCCTCCGCTCCTCCCCGAGGGCACATTGCCCTGTGCAGGTCCCCTGGGGCTCCCATGCGCCCTTCTCGTCTCTCCAAGGAGCCCATCGGAAGGAGAGCCCTCTTTCCCACCCGCCTCCATCCTTCTCCTGCTGGCCTGCACCTTCCTTGGCAAGCTTCTGGTGGCCAGTGCCCTCTGGGCTGCGGCCTGGCGTGGGTGGAAGCTGCGGACTCCTGTGGCCAGCGGGCTGGACTGCAGCCACCACGCAGGGCACCAGCTTCAGACCATGACAGGTGAGCTCGAGGAGAGCATGTGGGTGGGAGGGGAGGGAGGGGGGCGGTGGGGAGGGGAGGGAGGGGGGCGGCTGAGAGCGCAGTGTTTCTCTCGCAGGGCTGAGGGACCTCTGAGAGAAGAGGACCCCAGACAGGAGGAGGAGCCTGCCATAGTCCAGCCAGGGACCACCCAGCCTGCACACTCAGCCCTCAGCCACCGTGCCGCCTGGCCCTGCTCTGGCACGAGGCCACTCTGCTTGCACCCTGCTCCCCTGGGCCTGGCAGCAAGGACGTGTGTGTGTGTGTGTGTGTGTGTGTGTGTGTGTGTGTATGGCGGGGGCAGGCTGGCTGTCTGGGTGTCTGCGCTCCGGGCATTAAACACTCTCACAAACACACTCCAGACTGCGGGTCGTCACTGGAGGGCTGGTGGGAGGCTGGGGTCGGGGGTGGGGGTGTTTCAGGAAGGCCTTCTCCTTTGCTCTGGGGTGGGGACAGGAATTCAGATGAGGATGCTAGGGCAGATCTCATTGCTTGGGGCCCGGGGTTCCAGGATACCACATCCCTCCGTTCTCAGAGGCACCAATATCCTGTCTCCTGCCTTCCTTAGATCTGCTCACCCAGCCCTGCCTCCTCTCTGTCTCCAGCAGCCAGTCCCCCTCCCCCCCGACATACCCTCCACACACTCTCTCTCCATCAGCGTCCCTTGGGCCGTCTCTGGTCTCCCTGCCGCGGGAGGGATCCCTCCACCTCCAGCCCCCAGCATCCACACACCTCCTGAGAACTCTGGTGTCACCACGCGGCTTCCTCTCCAGAGAAGTGACACACGCCTGAGTCACAGAGTGCGACGCGATCTGACAGTGTATGGAATGGAAACTGGGGCTCAAAGAGGGAGAGACTGAGCCAATGATTTCACAATGCCCACTGAAATCAACCCAAATTTCACTGCGCATTCAAGGTGCCGTCCCCTGGACTTCAGTCTCAGGCACCTGTTCATATGCATTTACTCAGGGTTACCTCTGAGCATCTAACCCGTGCCAGCTACTCACGTGGGCACAGGAGACATGACAGTGAGCCCAGAGGTCAAGGCTCCGCCCCACGGGGTTCGTGTTATAGGGAAGGGTGGCAGACAGTGAGCACAGCCCACAGGTAGGGCTGATACTGGGTTAGGAAAACAATCAAGTGGAGCCAAGCTGTGAGCTGTGAGGGTTAGGAGCAGCAGGCTTGGGGGTGGCGCTATCTTTTTTTTTATTTGAAAGATAGAGTTACGGGGCGGGGGGAGAGAGAGAGAGAGAGAGAGAGAGAGAGAGAGAGATCTTGCATCCACTGGTTCACCCCCCAAATAGCCACAATGGCCAGAGCTGAACCGATCCAAAGCTAGGAGCCAGGAGCTTCTTCTAGGTCTCCCACATGGGTGCAGGGACCCAAGGACTTGGGCCATCTTCTACTGCTTTCCCAGGGCATAGCAGAGAGCTGGATGGGAAGTGGAGCAGCTGAGACTGGAACCGGCATCCATATGGGACGCCAGAGCTGCAGGCTGGGGCTATAACCCACTGTGCCACACACCGGCCCCTGGGGACCTGTGAGAGAAGAAGACCCCAGACAGGAGGAGGAGCCTGCCACAGTCCAGCCGGGGACCACCCAGCCTGCACACTCAGCCCTCAGCCACCGTGCCGCCTGGCCCTGCTCTGGCAGGAGGCCACTCTGCTTGCACCCTGCTCCCCTGGGCCTGGCAGCAAGGACGTGTGTGTGTGTGTGTGTGTGTGTGTGTGTTTAAACAGGGTGGTGAGAACACTTGAAGGAGGGGGGGAGGCAAGCCAGGAGGAGGTAAGACCTCAGTTCAACACATCCCCTGGTCCCAGCCGCGTCCCAGCCCTGTAGGCTGCTCTGGAGCCCTGGTCCAGTCTGTGTTCCTGGGGCCTCCCTGACCGCTGCACATCAAGCTTCACCACTGTGACCCAGGGCAGTGGCTCCCTTCCTGCACATCCAAGGCAAAGGCCATGTGCCAAGACGGTGCTGAGCCGGAACTGAGTCCTCTCTGCCAGTGCCATGGTGGGCGCCAACGCCAAGGGACAAGGCCAGCTCCCTGGCTTGGCTGGCATGGTGGCTGCTGTCAGCCCCAGCCCAGGATTGGGCTCTTCTCTCGGGAGCGTGGCATTTTCTCTTTCCTGCCCTGCAAAGCCAGATACATCCACCTCTGGGTCGGAATCACTAACGGGCTGCCTTGCCTAGGACTGTCTTGGAAGCTCACTGGGCTGACGGAAGGTTAGACAATTAGACGCACTGCCACTCTGTCTCCTAGGAAGACATCTTAAGCAGTGGCTTCAAGCTCTGGGTGCTCACTTGGAAAAATCAACTAACCAGTCAGTTCCTCCGCCATACTCCACAGGGCTCTTGAGAAGTTAAAAGCATAACATTTGAGACAGCATTTGGCGCTACAGTTAATATGCTGCTCAGGATGCCCAACCCCAGAACTGGAGTGCCTGGGTTCGAGTCCTGCCTCCACCTCTGATCCGGCATTCCTGCTAACGTGTGCCTTGGGAGGCAGCAGGTGGTGGCTCAAGTGCCGGGCATGCCATAATGGGCGCCTGCTGACACTTGGCTGCTCCACTGCTGATCCAGCTCCCTGCTAATGTGCCTGGGAAAACAGTGGAAGATGGCCCAAGTGCTTGGACCTCTGAACCAACATGGGAGACCCGGATGAAGCTTCTGGCTCCTGCTTCGGATCTGCCCAGCTCCGGCTGTTGCGGCCATTTGGGGAGAGAAGCAGCAGATGGAAGCTCTCTCTCTCTCTCTCTCTCTCTGTAACTCTGCCTTTCAAGTAAATAAATCTTTTTTAAAAAATGGAAAGAACTTTCTTATAAGGAACTTAAAGAAAGCCTGCTGCATATTGGCAGGGCAGGCCAAAGGAGTGGTTTGCTCAGGACTCCCCCGACTCTGACCCTGAAAGCCCCACGCCACAGGCAACCCCTGAGTCCCAGGGCAACAGGGACACTTCGTCAGCCTACCACCTATCAAAAAATCTTCAAGGATAAAAAACGTCAAGAATAATAAAGGGGGGCCGGCGCCGTGGCTTACTCCACCTGTAGTGCCGGCATCACATATGGGCGCCAGTTCTAGTCCCGGTTGCTCCTCTTCCAGTCCAGCTCTCTGCTGTGGCCCGGGAAGGCATTGGAGGATGGCCCAAGTGCTTGGGCCCCTGCACCCACATGGGAGACCAGGAGGAAACACCTGGCTCCTGGCTTCGGATTGGCATAGCTCTGGCCGTGGTGACCACTTGGGGAGTGAGCCAACAGAAGGAACATCTCTCTCTCTCTCTCTCTCTCTCTCTCTCTCTCTCTCTAACTCTTTCTGTCAAATAAATAATAAAAAAAATAAAGGTATAGAAAAAAAAGATGAGGAAGTCTCCCAGAAGACGGAGCAGGATGGACAGAGAGATGGAAAATGGGAAAAGGTGTGAAGATGAGCTCAATACTGAAGATTCGGTATCCAACCAATTAAGGAGTTGCAGAAGAACAGTGGGGAACGGGGCTGCCTTGGAGGTGCAGTGGGTTAAGCCTCCACTTGTGACACAGGCATCCCCATAACAGAGTTCTTGGTTCGAGTGAGTCCCAGTTGCTCTACTTCTGATCCAGCTTTGTGCTAATGCACCTGAGAAAAGCAGTGGAAGATGACCAAGTCCTTAGGTCCCTACCCTTCTGTGTTGACCTGGAAGAAGCTCCTGGCTCCTGGCTCCTGGCTCCTGGCTCCTGGCTCCTGGCTCCTGGCTTCTGCCTGGGCCAGCCCTGGCTGTTGTGGACATTCAAGGAGTGAACCAGCAGGCGGGAGATTTTCCCTCTCTCTCTCCCTGCCTTTCAAATAAATAAATCTTTAAAAAGAAAGAAAGAAAGAAAGAAAGAAAGAAAGAAAGAAAGAAAGAAAGAAAGAAAGAAAGAACAAGAGAAAGGAAGAAAACAGAGGGAAAGAACATGAGAAGCGATTATCAAGGAAAGAGCCTGTTTCCCAGAACTGGGGTGCATGGATCCGGATGGAAAGAGTCGCGAGGGTCTGAACAATGAGAGAGCCAGTCCAAGGGGGCACTTCCATTGTGGGGCTGTGTGGCAAGAGGCACAGTGTCCTAAAAGCTCGATGTGGCAGGGGAGCATGCATAAAGAACTTGGAATCTGGCCACGCATAGGGCGCTTCATAGCTTTCTCCTGGGTGGCTCTATGCACTCGGGTTGTGTATCTGGAAGCCCCCAAAGATCATCTTCCCTCCCCCCCCCCACCTCCCCCAGACCTTGCCTGCCTATCCCTACCCTCAGGGCCAGTTTCTGAGCAGGGAGCCAATCAGGGCTTGAGAGAGCTCCCTATCCCCACCCCAGTCCCTGCCTCCTACCCTGTGCTCTGGGTGAGCCGGGTGTGCAGGAAGCTGTGTCAGTGCCCAGACAAGCCACAGGGGCTGACCTTGCTCTCCCTGGCCATGGGCCCCCACCTGCTCCTGCTGCTGCTCCCGGGACTAGCAGGTAAGGTGCACCCCGGGGTTAGTGTGGATGCCACACCTGCATGTGTAGGTTCCAGGGCCCCCGTGGGTGGGGTGTGGGGTGCTCCCAGCTTCCGCCCAAGGTCCCCACCTCCTTCCCTTCCCTAGGTCAGGGCTCCGCAGCCAGCCTCCCTGAGCTGCTGCAGGCACCCGTGGGGGCCACCATTCTGGTGCAGTGCCACTACCGGCTCCAGGATGTCAAGGCTCGGAAGGTGTGGTGTCGCTTCTCAGCCGACAGCTGCCAGCCCTTGGTGTCCTCGGCTGTGGATCGCAGAACCCCAGGTGGCTCGCGCACCTTCCTCACAGACCTGGGGGGCGGCCTGCTGCAGGTGGAAGTGGTGGCCCTGCAAGAGGACGACGCGGGGGAGTATGGCTGCATAGTGGAGGGCGCCGCGGGGCCCCAGACCCTGCACCGGGTCTCCCTGGTGGTGCTCCCCCAAGGTGAGCTGTCCTTGGCCTGCTGCCACCTGCTCTGCCCGCCCTCCCACCCCACCTGTCACCAGGGCTCTTGGGTCCTTGAGGGGTGGGGGCCCTAGGGGGAGGAATTGGGAGGAAATATCCTTTTGACAGCTCCGTGGGGAGCGGAAACCAGACTGGATGGGAAGTGGGAGATAAACCAGCGGAAGAGCCTGCTCCGTCCCCCCCAACTCATGGGCTCCCCCAGCATTTTCAATATATTTGAGACTTCTTTTTTTAATTTTAGAAACTGGAATTCGCTTCTTGTACCTTTCAGGCTTGCATTTTTTTATTCCTGTAATAATGGACTTGATGGCTTACAATGGGCTGAACTTGTAATTAATGGTTCACGGCTTTGCTGAGTCTGTAGTGTGGGCATCTTGCAGGCAGGACCCACGCATGGCTGGGCCCCTTCAACTCCTGGTTTTGAAGGTTGTGATGAGGGTGATTGACATTCAAGCCAATATTCTCAGCATACAAGGCACTTTATTTATTTGTTTTTTTAAGAGAGAGGAGAGAGAGAGAGAGAGAGAGAGAGAGAGAGAGAGAGAAATCTTCCATCCACTCTTTCACTCCCCAAATAGCCCTAATGGCTGGGGCTGGGCCAGGCTGAAGCCAGGAGCCAGGAGCTTCTTCTGGGTCTCTCGTGTGGGTGCAGAGGCCCAAGCACTTGGGCCATTTTCTGCTGTTTTCCTAGGCACATCAGCAGGGAGCTGGATTGGAAGAGGAGCAGTCGGGTCTTGAACCAGCACACATATGGGATGCCGGTGCCGTAGATGGTAGCTTAACCCACTGCGCCACAGTGCTGGCCCCAACATTTTACTTTTACAGGTTCCATTCTCACAACCCATAATCTTCAGTATCTAAAACACCTATTGAAAGAAAAATTTTAAAATATTTACATTTTTTCCTAGAAAAATAGGACGTAATTAAAAAAAATGTTCTGGAGCAACGATGGTCAGTTCCCCGGAGCAGGCACGGCTGTGGCTTTGCCCTTTTATGGATGCTGACATTTTCTCATTGTTAGATCGTTCTTTGCTCAGCCAGTTTGTGCCCAATCCCCAAATAATGAGATTAAGAAAGGCAGCCCCCTTCTCTTGCTTTTCCACCCTAAAGGAGGACTAAGCTGTCATTAGAATCCCTGACATCTTGAGTCTGCGATGATTCTGTAACAAATCCGCCTGTTAATCCTCCTCCACCCTGTCCTCCTCATCGCTTCGCATTCTGAGTGACTGAACTCGACATTATAGCTCCTGGAGAGGTGGATGGTGACAGGGTGCCCCGTGGCCTGAGGGGGCAGGGAGGCAGGCGCTTGGAGCCCTGCCGGCTGCAACGGCGTGGGTGCTGTTGAGGAGGGGTTCTCAAGCGGGCTGGTGGAGCGAGGCGTCCGGGAAGGCTGTGGCTCCCAGCTCACACTGGACAGCTTTAGAGAGGGCTGTCCAATGCGGTCTACCAGGACAGGACCTGTGCAGTGAGCAGGGGGCCACCACGTCTTCAGTTTGTGCTTTGGCATAAGGAGGGCAGTGGGGATGGTGAATTGCTCAAGAACAAGGCAAGGCCCCCATCCCGCATATATGGAGAGGGTGGCAAGGGTCCTAGGACAATCTTCAGGCCCACAGACACCAACCCGGATCCTGCGCCCAGAAGTCCAGAATGTTGAGATGACAGAAGCCTTCAGACCTCAGCAGCACCACAGGGGCTGGGTGCTCAGCCCATGTCTCCTTCTGACTCAGTTCCTGGCCGGAGCAAGGAGGAGGAGCAGACCCATAAACTTGGCAGTGTGGCTGAGGACCCCTCCTCAGACCTCCCAGGCAGTGCCAGCCCCTGGGAGCCCAGGCAGCATGAGAAGAGGTACTGCTACACCTGGATCTGGGTGGCTGGGAGAAGGGTGGTGGTGAGATAGGACCTGTTGCAAGCGCCAGACTGCATCAAAGGGGATACGTGATGCCTGCCCACCTTGGGAGACTCCAGAGCAGCAGGACAGACAGCCCTCTCTCCCAACTCAGCCCTGGGCCCTTCATCCTGCTGGCTCTTTAGCCAGGGGGCTCTGGCAACATGCCTCTCTTCTGCCCACCTTGTTCCGTTGCCTCTCAACTGCGGTTTGCCAAGGTAGGACCCTTCTGTCATTGCTCCTGCGGGGTTTCGGGCTAAGACTCCTATCCATTTCTGCCCCTCAGCACCCCCCTGATCTGGGGGGCTGTGTTCCTGCTGGGTCTGCTGGTGGCGGCTGTGGTGCTGTTTGCTGTGTTGGCCAAAAGGAAAGGTAGGTAGCAGATTGTCCCCCTGGCCTGGCCTGGTCCTGCCAGTCCTGCGGCAACCAGCTTTGCAGATGAGGTCAGATGACCTGAGGGATGCAGGGGAGGGAAGGAGATTCAGTGGAGCAGGCATGGGAAAAGACAGGAATTGTTTTAAAGGGGGTGGGGGCAGTGTGATTGGAGGACAGGTGATGGAGGTAGGAAAGGGGATTAGGGAGGTGGGCTGAGGGTTGAGACCTGCAGAAGGGAAATGGGTGGAGAAACAAGGCAGGCTGGGGAGGGACTGAGGAGAGGGAGGGGTGAGGGTTTGGTGGTGGGCATGGGGAAAGTGAGTCTGCACTAGGAGAGAGGCTTCCAAAGGGAGTGGGAGCTGGATGCTGACTTCCCTGCTGTCCACCCCGCCAGCAACCAGGCACGCTGTCTGTGGTCGATTCCAGATCAGCAGAGCTTCAGGAATGGTAAGAGGCCTCTTCAGGCCCTCAGACCATCCCCCCAGACCCTCCAAGCATCACACTTGCCCAGAGGTCCTGGGTGAGGGCTGGAGGCATCCCGGGCCTTGGTGCAAACCCTTTTCCTCAATGCTATACACTTGGCATTAGTGGTCTCCAACCTTCCCAGAGTTGGGGACAAACTTGGGGCTTGCAAAATCTCCAGTCGAAGCCCTCTTGCCCACTGCCATGTGCAGACTTTGAGAGACAGATCCCGTGTGGTCCCGGTCCTCCCACCCAAGGGCACCAAGGCAGAGGGTGGCATCTCCTCTCTGCCTGATTTGCTTGTTTCCACTGCAGGATTCAGGGGGCCCCCACATCGGTGATTCGGGACTGGCTGCTGCGGGGCCTTCGGACATAGCATACGCGAGGCTCGACTCCCCACTTTCCTTCGAAAATGCCACCTACAGCGACCTACCTCTTGATCCCCCACCCTCAGTGCCCCCTCTGCCTCCTAAGGTCCACATTTCCTCCAAGCCTGTCACATATGCCACAGTCATCTTTCCGGGAAGGGACAGGGGTGGAGCAGCCTCCTGTGAGCCATCCCAGGATCCAGCTAACAGCCAGACTGCACCCAGCTGATCTGGTCAGTCCTCTGCACACGCATGGCAATCATCCCTGGGGCTTCTGCGCACCCAGTCAGCCAGCTCACGTTAGAGCCTTAGGATATTTCAGCAACTTTCAGATCCAAGCTCATGTCCCAAGTTTGTAGCCAGGGAAGAAATGTGGATATGACTAAGGTGTCTTGGAGAAGCTGTCTCCCCGCCATGCTGTTCCTCTGCTATTACACACTGAGTAAAATAAACCCTAAATGATGATATGTGAACTCTTTTGTTTTTTAAGATTTATTTATTTGAAAGGCAGAGTTAGAGAGGCAGAGGCAGAGAGAGAGGTTTTCCATCTGCTGGTTCACACCCTGGATAACCATAACAGCCAGAGCCGCGCCGATCCGAAGCCAGGAGCCGGGAGCTTCTTCTGGGTTTCCCAAGTGGGTGTAGAGGCCCAATGACTTGGGCCATCTTCCATTGCTTTCCCAAGCCTAGAAGAAAGCTGGATCAGAAGTGGAGCAGCCGGGACTCGAACCGGCGCCCCCATGGGATGTCAGCACTGCAGGCGGCGGCTTTATCTGCTATACCACAGTGCCAGCCCCGATATGTGAACTCATAATGGTAAACTCATAATGTCTGGGTGGGGAATGGGGAAGGAAAGGGTCAGTTTCGGCTAGAGTTAGTGCTGCACAATGCCTGCCTGCCCTGCTAGTGGGGAAGTGGTTCCCCACACCCAACCCTGGACAAGGAAACCAGAAAGACTTCAAAGGCATCTCCTGCGCCTCTTATGAGGCCTGAAAGTATCGATTCGTTTGCTTGAGTCAAGGGAGCACTTCTGTTCTCTGCTCTGCTGGTCGTGAACTAGTGAGGCCTGTGATGTGCCAGCATGTGATCAGGAGTGCATGATAAATGAGACCCAGACAGATGGGATGTGAGAGACGGGACTGCAGAGACAGGAATAAGGCCACCAAGCCTGATCCCCTGCAGAACAAAGGGTTCTCAAGCACCAGGAGGGGAAAGGCTTTGTAGACTTCCCTCTTACCAGAGCTGGCTCTCCCTCACCAGGTGGCCATCTGGTAGAGCTGTTCCCTTTGAGCCCTGGAGCCTGGGAAGAGCCCCCGGTGGAGGGGGGCGGAGAAAAGGACTTGTGGGAAGGAAGGGGCGTGGACCAGTATGCCCAAGGTCGAGAGTGAATTAATGTTACTCCAGGCAGGGTGTTGAAGGGCCTCTACTTTTTCTGCCAGCATTTCTTCTGAATCTGTTTCACTGGGAATGAGGGGCTCGGAAACCCATTCCTGTGGCAATCACGGAGAGCTAGGCATAGGAGGTTTTGTCCATCTGGAGGGGCCCCGAGCTGGACCAGGCATTTCAGGAGAAGGGACGGGGCTGGGCCTCAGACTTCAGGCTGTGTAAGTCCAGGGATATTTGGGGGAACTCTGGCAGGATGTTCTGCCCTCCCCTGATAAGAGCCTCAGGCTGTGACAGAACCTAAGTTTACTTCTGTCTCTTGTGGAGGCAGCAGCTGTCGGATGGGCACCAATCAAGGAAGCCCTCATTTTCCCTGGGAAAGATGAGTAGGGACTGCCTGGTGAAGAGGGTAGGGGACAGAGGAAGGGGAGAATCAAGTCTGAAAAGAACCTGCTGGAAAAATTTTCCTTGGTCTGGATGTCAATTTATAACTTTTGAGAACTGAACAGAAGTTAAAAGGGAAATACCATGGAAGATAACGCAGTCAATTTAGTGCCGGGGAAGGGGAAAGGCAGATGCTCCTCCACTTACCGTGGGTTGTATCCTAAGAAACCCATCCTAAAAGAAAAACACTGCAGCTTGAGAATGCGTTTCGTACATCCAACCTACTGAGCATCATAGATTATAGCCTCGTCTGCCTTAACCACGCTGACATTAGCCTACAGTTAGGTAAAATAATTTAACACAAAACCTATTTTATAATAAAGTATTGGATATTGCATGCATACACAGTTGAGTATTTTGATGGTTGCAAAAACACAAACCAGAAGAACTGCTGGTAACACATGACCCTGTACAGTTATTGGTTGTTTACCCTGGTGACTGTGTGGCACACTGGGACTGTGGCCCACGCTGCTGCCATTGCCCGGTATTGTATGAGAGCATTATACCACATATTGCTAGCCTGGGAAAAGATGGACATTCAAAATTAAGAACAGTTCCCCCTGAATGTGTACTGCTCTCACACCACAGTAAAGTCAAAAAGTCTCTCTCTATCTGTAACTCTACCTCTCAAATAAATAAGTAAATCTAAAAAAAAAAATACAGCGAGCAGCAGAGACCTGAGATTTCAGAGAAAGCTGCAAAGAGTAGGGGTCATGCACCTTGTTGGAGGGCAGGACTTACTCAGGCACGTCTGAGCCGCCAGCACCCCAGTCCTTACACCCATCTCCTCCAGGAAGCCTGGAGTTGGGCCTGTGGATGGGGGGCGGGGTGGGGGAAGGTTGGGAGATCTTGATCTAGGGGGACTGTCGGGCCCGCCTTAGCAGGGAGCGGGAGAACCAGAGGAGGTAACTGAACTAACAAAAATATAATCAATTTTTTTCAGAACTATAGAAATTAACCAAAGACTTATATAAATCCAAAGAGTATTTGTCTAAGTGTTTGTGTTTTTTTTAACTTCTTAGCTGATTAAAAAAACTTCATAAAGCAATAATTTTAAATTAAAATTAACACAACAGAAGACAGTTGAGGAATGCATGGAAAACGACATAAGACAAATAGGAATTAAAAAAATTAAAAATGAATCTACCATTTGATGGAGCTATTCCACTTCTGGGACTATATATGAAGGAATTGATATCAGTATATGAACGAGACCCCATGCTTGTTGAAGCACTACTCTCAACAGCTGACAGAATCAACTTAAGTGTCCACAGACAGATGAATGGATAAAGAAAAGGTGGCATACATACACAGTGGACTATTATTCAGGCATAGAAGGACAAAATCCTGACATCGCAGCTAAACGGATGGAATTGGAGATTATTATATTAAGTGAAATGAGCCAGACACAGAAATATTGTATATTCTCCCTCTTACATGGAAATTAAAAAGTTTATCTAAACTTAGAACAGTGATTCCTAGACTGAGAAGGGCAGGGGAGGGGAGTGGAGGGAGGTCAGATAATGGGTCTGAAGCACCATACTGACACAGTACAGTGGAGTTCACAGTAATGTTATACACTGCAAACACAAGGAAAAGGAGATCGTAGGCTGATTGCTTGGCTTGTTCGGTTTATGGAATGAATATGTAGTGAAGTACTGCACTATACCTCATAAACATGTTAATCAAAAACATTCAAGATTTATTTATTTGAAAAGCAGAGCCTCACGTACACACCCAGGATTGGTGTGGGGAGGAGAGAGAGAGAGAGAGAGAGAGAGAGAATTTTCCATCCTTTTATTCACTCACCAAAGGAGAGCAACAGCCAGGTCTGGGCCAGGCTGAAGCCTAGAACCAGGAACTCAATCCTGGTGTCTCATATGAGTCCAAGTACTTGGGCCAGCATCTGCTGCCTTGTCAGGTGCATCAGCAGGAAGTTGAATTGGAAGCTGGATTGGAAGTGGAGCAGCTGGGACTCAGATTGGCATTCTGATATGGGATGCCAGTGTTGTGAGCGTCAGCTTAACCCGCTTAGTCACAATCTTGGCCCCAGTCAAAACTTTTGAATAATAAAATAATTTAAAACAAAAATCCTTAGGAATAAAAATAAAAACTCTTGGAGTTAATAAGCAAATTCAATATGGCTTCAGGATAAAAATCAATATGTACAAATCAGTTGTATTTCTAGATACTAGCAATGAACAATCCAAAAATGAAATTTAGGAGTTGTGGGCAATATGGCACCTCAAGTCCACAATGGAGCTGTGAAGGGATGGGAGCGGCTGAAGCCAGGCAGCAGCAGGGGCCAGTGTCACCCTCTGACAGCTGCCTGGGCCCCGGCTACCCCACTTCTTTGGACTGCATTGGTGTCTTGTAGGATGGAACTCCACCCCCCACCCCCACCATATTCTTGGGGTCAGCCTCGGATTCTGATGAGTCTCTTGTCACAGACTGGGAGCTGCAGAATGCTCTTCTGGAGGGCTCCTGAAGTCAGGCCTCACCGTTGTGCAGTGAACAATGTGAAAGTGAAATAGTGGTGTCTGAATTCAGCCGTGATCTGGAATGGGTGGAAAGACTCGATGTGACCCTGGGTCCAGTGCACCTCAGTCAACATCTCAAACCAAGGACCAGGGAGCCCTTAATCCAGAAGATGACTTAGAGCAGGAGCTGGCTGTCCACCACCAGGCCCAGGCTGCAGTACTTGCAGTCACACCACCGCCACCATCTCCAGGTCCTTAGGAAGAGGCCTGTTGATTATTCTGCAGAAATAGCAAAGTCTGATCAGCAGATACAAAAGAGCTGACAGAGCAGCAGACTAAACAAGTTGCAACGGAGAAGCCTGAAAAGGCCAATATGGCAAGAATGTACAGACAGAGGTTTTCCGGAAGAGGCAGCTGTGGTGCAGCCGGTTAGGCTGCCACCTGCAAGGCCAGCATCCCATATAAGCATTGGTTTGAGTCCCAGCCACTCCATTTCTGATCTAGTTCCTTGCTGATGCAAATGGGAAAGCAGCAGATGTTCAGAGTGATGGGCCCTTGCACTCACATGGGAGACCCAGATGAAGCTCCTGGCTCCTGGCTTTGGTCTGGCTCAGCCACAGCCATTTGGGGAGTGAACTAGCTGGATAGAAGATCTCTCTGTCTCTTGCTATGTCCCTGTCTCTATAACTCTACCTTTCAAAATTAACAAACAATTTTTTTCTTTTTTTTTAAAGATTTATTTATTTATTTATTTGAAAGTCAGAGTTACATACAGTGAGAGAAGAGGCAGAGAGAGAGATAGATCTTCCATCTGATGGTTCACTCCCCAATTGGCTGTAACGGCCGGAGCTGCGCCGATCTGAAGCCAGGAGCCAGGAGATTCCTCCGGGTCACCCATGCGGGTGCAGGGGCCCAAGGACTTGGGCCATCTTCTACTGCTTTCCCAGGCCATGGCAGAGAGCTGGATTGGAAGAGGGGCAGCCAGGACTAGAACTGGTGCCCATATGGGATGCTGGCGCTTCAGGCCAGGGTATCAACCCGCTGTACCACAGTGCAGGCCCCAATAATTTTTTTTAAAAAAAGGAAATTTAGAAAGCAATTCCATTTATTCATGAAGAACAAACTATTAAGCATAAATTTAACAAAAGAAGTGTTAATATTAACAC